ACATACTCACAAACAAATAAACACACACACACACACACACAAATGCACGCATACACGCATACACGCACATGCACACGCACACGCACGCATAAACACACACGCATACGCACACGCACGCATACACGCACACGCACACACACGCACAGGCACGCACAGGCACGCACACACTCGTAAGTCTTCACGCTTCTAAAAAATCTTTGTACCTTGTGAAACATTCACAAATACACCAACACATATACACACACATGAACGCACACACATAAACTCACTCTTTTCCTAACTTTTCATGCTTCTAAAAATCTTTGTACCTTGTAAAAACATGGCTGTGAACATTAAAATAAAATTCAACTTTTTCATGAATCATGAAAATCTGTTTTCTGTTAGGCACTTTGTTTGCTTTTGTTAAGAAAGATATATCAGAAAACAAAGCTGCAATAGACAGTCTCTAAACCTAGGATGATAAATAAATAGCCAACATATACTTTCGCTAAATGTAGCATCTAAAAAAGTACCATTTGCAACAAAGTCCATTCCCACACTTCACCAAGACAAGTCATGCCACAATATTAAATAAACAATATTTAACTGGAACACTATGTAAATAGTAAGATATGTAGCCTTTTATCATCCAATGAGACATGGAAAATATCATACTTGGAGCAACTTTCAGTTGAATTCTCAAACATGAATGTCATATGAGAGCAGCAAAGTATGTCAGGAAGAAAACTTTCTGTCCATTACACATTGTGAACACTTTAAACAGAAACATAAAACTCTTTGTACATAAAATCACGAATATGGTGCCAGGTAATACATGATGGATATTATTTAAAATTTTCCAACATGCAGTTCCATAACTTGTTATAAAAACACTGGACTCTGATGGCATCTAATGTAATGGCCATTCACTTCCAAATACTGGTACACAATCATACAGGTAAGAACAAATTCTTAATAAATAAAATAATAATAATAGTGCTCTAACTTATGATAAATCACTGCATATTAAAGCACTTTTTGCCTGCTAAAGGAAGCTTTCTTATTTCTTCCAATGAGGAAGTAAATATCCTGATTTCTTAAAACATGCTAACCAGTACTTAAGGATAAGTCTGATATGCGAAGCTGAGCATCGCCCGGGCTATGCCCATGATGGGAGCCCGGCCTGTGTCGACTAATGCCAACTCGCTAACGTGTGTCACCTGGTGCTGACTCAGATGAGCTCAGTCCTTACCCGCCGTGGTGCCCAGCCACAGCAGTAACCTTCAGGTGACAATTGCAACTTCTCATGCCTAGGCAGGGCGCCAACCGCCGACCCCTCGGATGAGAGGCCGACACGTTACCACTGTATTAACCCAGAGGCTAACCAGTACTTGACAAACAAAAAGCATCTGAAACTTTACCCCATGAAAATTCCCTTGTGGGGGAAACAAAGCTCCTATCGTCTCCTTTGAACCAGAGATAATTAACCTATGCATTTACCCTTAACCCACTGCAAAAAATCATCTACTTTGTTTATTTGAGCAAATATCTATTTGGAAAATATAATACCTAAAACTGTTTTATTGCAGACTTTCCTCTCTTATAAACTACAGTGGAAAACCATAATAATATGTCTAGCAATAAGCAGTAATTGCTTAAATTTTTAAATGAAATATTTCACAATACAATATCAGAACTTTGCAAGGCAACTGACAATCTAAATGAGATCAAACACTTACAAAAAGTATATATGAGTAAAGTCTGTGTTAATCCTAAGCAGATGAAGGCAAAATTTTCTTTTGCTTACAGTTTACAGACAATTCTCTATAATAATGAGTAACTTTCAACATTAATGAAAATTAATATTCACTGCATATAAAAATCATATAGCCTTTTTCCTCTTTTTCCATTAGATAAATAAATTAATTAAAAATTAGAGTAAATGAGATTCCCACTATGGTAAAATATGTATGTCACAGTCTGGATTAATCTATACACAACTTTCTTTTTATAGTGACAAAAATAATAAGGGAAAAGCATCTGGAAAGTTCTTAGGAAAAAATCTGTAACAAACTAAAATTGATATAATACAGAATTGACATACCTTAGTTAGGACTATGGTAATCAGGGAGCAATGGCAGCATACAGGCATTCCATCAGCTTATTAATGACTTCCTAATTTCCTTTAGCAAGTACTCACTTCACAGTCAACCACATGTATCATGACAGGAACTAACTATGTGAGTGCTAAACTAGTAGCTGTTAAGTATTTTCAAGATGAGATTCTCTCTGAGACATTATAAGCACAATTTGACCACCACCACATAAACTGCATTCAAAATTAATAAATCAAGTAGTTACAGATATATGTGAATAATCAGGTGATGAAACTTCATCAAATCTGATGCTCTTGCAGTACAGTTTCAGGAGAGATAAATGCAGGTTTGCAACTATCAGCTAATTAACTACTAAAAAGGAAATCGCCTCAGAGGGGGCGTGGCATGAAACATCCCTTCAGAATATTTCCTTGACTGTCCTCTGCCACAACCTCAATATGTGTATCTGAAGGCCAGTGTGCCACCTGTGCCCATGGCAAGTGCAGAACTGGTGGAGGGGGTCGAGTGACAAATTCCCAGTGGTGGAAAGCCATGGTGTGGAGGTCACGCAATTCTACCACCCGGATACCAGCTGTACTGCATACAACAGATCTGTAAATAAATGACAAGTTACTAGGTGGAGGAAATCAATATTCTTTTTGTAAAGTATTCCAGTATAGCTGTATATTGCCAATCTTGGTTATAAGCTATGATTACCATAAGCACAATCTGGAAAAAATGAATAGCACATCTGTCTAAATCATCCAGCATACTGTTTTAACATAAAAAGAAATGGAATACTAAATTTCTTATGGCTTCAAATGAATATGACAATGCCTTCTGGAGGTATAAAATAGCTAAGGAAACAAAGCAGGCATGAAAGAAAGAAATAAAGATTCTTTAGTATGAATACAGCTGACCCTTCTTAGTGGCTTCCAGTGAAAAGAACATACAGAGACAATTTCATACCAGCAGACACAGTGTTTGGACTGCCTTTGATTCTGTTACCTAGCATCTACGTCCCTTACAATATCTCATCACAAAGCTTCTATGGCATTTAGCATAATGCATATTTTTGTAAGAGACATATAAAGCAAAATAAACTAGCAAAGTTTAGCTATTAAATCCCCTAATCATGTTTCTTCTCCAGATAACTGATTTTTCATGCATAATAATCATGATTATATAGTTTTTAATGTTAAGACAACACCTTAACAAAGTGAAGACTACAGATGTAAATGCTGACATTACACATAAAATCAATTCTCCTTGTAATCTTTTTTAAAGTCATAATTTATCTCGATAAATGCTCAATATGGCAAAATTCACTGCAAATGAAAGACAGGCTTTCACACCATTTTCATGAATCTTATGTCTTCTCCTGACTCTTAAACCAATGGGAAGATATCTGACGAACTTAAAAATTATGAGATCACATAATTTTTGTAAGAAGGAAACATGCTGAGATTTGAGAAGACAGCCTAGAATGAAAGAAAGAAAACCCTTCTACAGCTTCAATCTTGATCAAACTTTTCAGCACAAAAAATACGAAAATGCAGTCTGCAGCTCAGAAATTGTCACAAGGAGGGTCAGCTGGGTACTCACACAGCTGAGCAATGACCAACTTTTAGGGCATGGCCAGTTACGCTAGCAGAAGAAAAAGAGAAATTCATTATACACTTGTGATCCAAGAGAAAGTCATCAATCAGATATGAGAGTCTTAGAAAAGTGAGTGTGACAAGATTATCCTTAAAAGAGGGTGATATCTAACATCATGCAATCAACCTTTTTCTCTACTACAAAAATAATCTAATATGTACTAAATCATACAGACAATGAAGAACCTGAGATTCAGCTTACGGTTTCATTATTTAAAATCTAAAACAAACATTCCCTTTTAAATGTCCCAAAATAAGCTCATAATCACAAAAGCTTGTTTGATCTTTTCATAAAAACCATTAAAATTGTGCAATATAAATTATCCTTTGTGAAAAAGCTGCCTCTTAGACTGAGAATGATGTGCCTAGTCAACAAGAAAGGGACATTTTTACTACATATTCAAGATGTATATTGCATTACTAAGATCCTTTCCATATCTTACTACAAATGAATTATGGCAATTGATCTAAACCTCAGACACATAATAAGTCTCTAAAAATTGTGATATCATAACTAAAAAGTAAAGCATAAGTAAATCAAACAGCTACCTGTTTGTAAGTAAACTATCTTGGACAGATATAATACCAAAATTTGATACATGACATAAATTTATTACATGAAGAAAAAAAGACAATTTACTTAAATGAGAAAAATGCACCTACAAAAATTGCTGTGCTAAAAAATCTTCTGCTTATTAACAAACCTATTCCTAAAAAAATAATTTTAAAGCTGAAAAGTAATATAATGGCAAGTAATATAATACAGTGACTTCAAAATGGAACTGTACCTAGGTATACACAATGAAACAGATTCATATACCAAAGAATGTTCACTACAAATTGCATAACAAATATGACTATCTCTCTCTCTCTCTATCTCTTTCTCTCTCTCTCTATGTCTTTCTCTCTCTCTATCGATCTCTTTCACTCTCTCTCTATATCTATCTTTCTATCTCTTTCTCTCTCTCTATCTCTATCTCTTTCTCTCTCTCTCTCTCTATCTCTTTCTCTCTCTCTCTATGTCTTTCTCTCTCTCTATCGATCTCTTTCACTCTCTCTCTATATCTATCTTTCTATCTCTCTCTCTATCTTTTTCTCACTCTCTCTCTCTCTATCTATTTCTCTCTCTATCTATCTCTTTCTCTAACTATCTATCTCTTTCTCTCTCTCTCTCTCTCTCTATCTCTTTCTCTATATCCCCCCCCTCTCTCTCTCTCTCTTCTCTCTCATCTCTCTCTCTCTCTCTCTCTCTCTCTCTCACTCTATC